TTTTTTTTTTTTAACATTCATTTCAGTTGAGTTTGAAATGTAAAAATTTACCCTTTAATTTATTGTCAGTGGCAGATCCGGATGGTAGAAAAATGGCATTCGCTCCCCTCTGCTTTCTCCGAGCTTTGTGGGGAAAATAGCAATCACTACCCCACCCCCATTATTATTATAAGGGAACAGACTAATAAATCCACTAACTCTCCTTCCGAAGGACATAAGTCTCGCCCCTTAGAACCATAGGTCTTGTTCCATTGAACCATTTTTCTTGATTGCCAAAGGGCCACTCACCACCCCCTCGGCAAAAAGTGAATCCGCTAATTGTAGGCGATACCTTATTTAAAAAGTCACGTTGTCAATGTTGGTCTAATTTAATTTACGAGTAATAACATATCTTGTGCGCACATTTATACACAAGTTTAATTTGTTACAAGGTTATTTGCCCAATATTCGTCACTTCGTATGAACATCATCGCAGCCACACACACATTCGCGAGAGGTCCACACATTAACAGCATATGTTCAAAACCTCTTGGCAGGGAGCTCATTCAATTTGAAGCTAATGTACATTTACTCTTTAGACACGCTAAAATAAATTTATACAATACTGAATATATAATTAAGTGTTGTAGTTAGGTACTCTTAGTATATGGACTTGAAATTTTAAAATATAAGTTCGAGTGAATTGAATTGAATGGTATTGATAATACTGTAACAGTAAAAATAATTTCTTCTGTGGCATGGTAATTTTTTTGTTTTAAGCGTTCACAACTAATATTGATTATAATCATTTTAATATACATATAAAAATACTGTATAAGCAATCCATTTTAAAAAGATAATTATTATGAGGATGATGATAATAATAATAATAGAATATTAACACAATAGTGTTATAACAATGAATAATATGCTTACAAAAATAACAATAATGAAAAGATGAATAGAATAGGCTAATACCGTATATTAAATATGTTTTGAACCTGAAAAAATTACTGATAGATAGTTTTTAATAAAAAGTACAAAGTTATGTAGTATAATCAGGCAGGTATAAATATAGGCCTATACTAAAATCTAACTTCATTTCACGAGCGACGAATTATATTTGCAGGAATAGTTAATGGGAGATAATTCACTGTCAATGAAGCACTTGTTGGGCAGAGAATTGCTAGATTATAATGTCATCTGCATGTGACCTCTGACACGATTGAGAAAGTGCACATCAAAAGCAATTTTGTAACACTAACTTGGCTGAATTTAATTCATATTTTATATAATTAATTCTATTCTAGTACTATGTGGCATGATGATAGAAGGATGATAATTTTAAAGGTAATCATAACTTTTGAAAGGAATAGGCTATGTAATAATTGTATCAAGCATTTAGCTTATCAACGAAAATTATCCTACCATACAACTGAAATAAAGGTTTTTTTCGTTGATGAGCTATGATGATGTGACACTTTTTCATGAAAGTGAAATAAGGAACTATATAGCCTATTTCTCTTAAGCGCAACTCTTGAAATATTGTTGTGTACATTTATATTATTAATATACATATGTATTGATGATGAGACACTTTTGCATTTAATTTAAATACTAGGGCTTATATATATATATATATATGTATATATATATGTATATATATATGTATGTATGTATATGTATATATATGTATGTATATATATGTATATATGACTATCTTATAATATATATATTGTTTGTATATATATTATAATATATTTATATTATTATATATATATATATATATATATATATGTATATGTATATATGACTATATTATAATATATTTATATTGTTTTATGATTATACAGTTTTTTTTATATCTCTTGTGCATGACGTTTATAAACATGTTGATATTATATTGCATGGTAATGGAGTGTGGAATTAGCATGAAAACTGGCATAAATTATATTAAAATGTCTGGTAATGTAACTCAATTATGACGTAACGTATAATTCTATCTGAAATTTTAATAGATTTTAAAAAGAAGGGGATACTAGTGTTGGCATAAGGCATAATGTTCAGTAGACAAATAGTTGAATGTTTTAGAGCATTAACATTCTCTGGTCGGTCCATGTTAGCAGCTGAGTCATTATCACATCTGTCACTTTCAATATGTTTTAGAGCATTATCATTCACTGTTCGTCCATGTTTGCACTTTAGTTATTGTCACATTTGTCACTTCATTCACCACCACAATCACAGTCGCAATACCTGTAAGTGTTTATACCAAACCATATATTCCTACTTCCAGCCTAAAATTGGCATATTCTGATTTGTTATCATCTTCACATTCCTTCAAACTGACTTTTATGAATTGGTGCTAATGGAGAGTTCAACTATACCATAGCCTTTGGTTAAATTTATTTGGCTTCAACATGCAATTCTTAAATATGAATAAAGAAATATCCGATTCTGATTAGATTAAAATTAGATACTATTTTATATATACCTATATAAAAAAGTAAACAAAATAAATGCGGTAAACAATACCAATTCGTAACAGTGACTAAATTGAAACATAAAAAATGTAAAGTGTTCAAGGTCTGGAAATTTAATATCCCTTATATTCATGCTGCTGAGTTTGCTATTTATATTTCTACTGTTGCTAAGATCATGTTACTGATGTTGCTGCTGTTTGTTGATAATAATTCTTGCTGCGGACATTGTTGTTCCTCTTACGCATGATCCTGTTGCTGGTTGTGTTGGTGTATCTTGTTGATGTGATCATGTTTTCTGACTTCATTTTGTTGTTCTTACTTCTAAATCCATAACACCTAAGAGGTCATCAAGGTCGGTTGTTAATGGTGCTGGTGTTGATGCTACTGTTGCTGATGATTTTGATCCCTTTGTTGCTACCACTGTTTTTGGTGATATGACTATTGTTGATGGTCATGTTGCTGCTGTTGCTGACATCGTTGCTTATAATCATGTAGACGTTGCTCTGCTGCTGATGATCTTCAGGGTGGTGTTGCTGTTCTTATTGTTGGCGCTGTTACTGGTGATCCTGTTGATGGTGGTACTGTTCTTGCTGTTGCTACTGTGGATATTGTTGCTGATGATTGTGTTCCTGTTTGTATGTTGTTGCTAATGCTGTTGTTGATATTGTTGATCATGTAGTTGTTGTTCTTGTGGCTCTTGCTGATGAACTCATTGCTGGTGTTATTGCTATTGTTCCTCGATTGCTGAAGGCTTTGTTTCTGATGTTGCTGTTGCTGTCATATGAATTTAACATTGTGAGTGTGCTTTCATTAAAATGTGTAGCTTTTTCTGGGAAGGTGAGAAAGAGAGACTGGTCACAGAATGCTTTCTTGAAAATTATAAAAACTATCTAATATTATAATACATGTACACAGGAACGTATTATATATTTTGAAAATGATAAAAACTATTTTATATTTTAATTCAAGCTACTTAAACATATATATGATATTGATCATCATCATCATCATCATCATCATCATCATCATCATCATCATCATCATTAAGTATGTCGAATTGAAAAAGAAACTAATTGATGTATATGGAATCGTGATTCAGGATTTCTAGTTTGATCATTCTAAGAATGATGAGTCAAATGAGGGATGAAAGGAAGGAAGAAGATATATGATTAAAGCGCTGGTTTAGTTTTCGAGTGTTGCCCATTAGATCATCAATTACGTTAGATATATTTTTGTAAATTCTGACCGAATTTGCGAGCTATTTTACAGCTTAAAGATGGAAGTAAACGATGTGCATGTTAGTACCATACACTTGTAAGGACTGAATTAAACTTCTGGGACTAAAAGATGGTTACCATAACCGCTTAACTATTAAATCACATCATTACAAACGGCGATAGCAGTGTATTACTCACATCATGATATGTTATAGGGCCTATATACAATGCATATTATAGTGTATTATGTATAAGTATATGATTAATTTAGTACGTAGAAATGCATAAGTTGTAAGGAGAAAGTCGTTGTAGAAAAAGTATATTGTTCCGACCGAGATTGAACCCAATACATCAAAATACAATTCATTCATTTTGATGAGCTTTTCAAGGTTTAAATTGAATTTTTCTTTGACAGACGGTTTATTATTAAAATGTTAATTTGTTCATTTTGTACCAAGTGCTACCGTAATTTCGTTATTTTATTACGTTTTCAGTGGTACATCGATTGCTTGACATTGCCTTGTAATGTATTTTCGTGAAATATTGAATAATATTTTTTTTAATGTTATTTAGTTGCCCCACAAATAAGTATTCTTGTCCATTGGTCTTGTAATTGGTGGGAGTATAATAACGATAATAATAATACGATAATTGGAGAATACTGGATTCAATTCAGATTGGCACCATACTTTTGTTTTTCCTGAAATCCCTGATGCATGATAATAACATACAAACAAGTAAAGAAATTAAATTGTAAATTCTCTTTATCCATGGAGTACGATATACTGTCAGATATTTGATTGTATTATACTGCGCTTACTAATGCAATTAAATCAGCTTGGAGATAAAACTGATTAAAAATTATATTTTATAAATATTTTGAGATTTAAACTATCTTTTTCAAGTATTTTAGATATCAAATTACTGTATTCAAAATCTGTGTGAGCTTTTTTAATCGAAGATGTCCGATATAAACCGTGGATGCATTTTGTTATCTGTTGGAACACATTAATCAGAGATTGTCTAGATCATCATAAGGACCCACTTCCCTCTCAAAAGCCTTTTAAATTCCACTTAAATCTTATAAATACGAGAAGCTACATCAATTCATTTTAGCAAGGTCATTGTTGTTTGCATTTTTAAAAATTAAAATTGATTTATACATTTTTCTTGAGATTGTGTTTGTACACTTTCTATGTATAGTCATTTCTAAAAGTGCAGCGTTGCTCAAAAATGAATTTATTTTTGAAAATTACGTATTTCCTATATTTATATATTCTACATTGATAATTAATTTGTGTGTTTTGTTTTTTGCTTGTAGATCTGGTAGTCTTTCAGTTACCAACTTCCAACAACAGACAGTTGATTTTGTAGAAAAAATTTACAATGAATTTACAAAGTAAGTTTATCATTCCGTCCTGATCTATCGCTATAATTTGAACATGTATACAGGAAACTGACATTACCAAAATGAATAGTAACTAAAAAAAAAAAAAAGAAAAGAAAAGAAAACGATTAATACGAAAATGACTGATGACTCACGATATGAATTATTTAAGGATGATGGTCGTGGTGATGTTGACATGTTGATGATGGTTATGATGGGTAGTGGTGTTTTTGTTGATGATGATAACGCCAAAAGATGATGATCATTGATGATGATAATGATTTAAAGGATGATGAATAATTTAGTGATGTGATAGTGCGATCGATTATAAAGGTAATACGGTATATTTATAATACCGTCGTGTTTGCCAATCTTAATCATAACCACAAATTTTAAATAATATCTTTTTAAACTTCAGTCCCAAGCTTAGGGTTTCGTTCATCACATTCTCCGATGAGCCACAGACCAATATGCCTTTGACTGGAGATAAGTAAGTAGTTCTATCCTATAATTCTATAATTCAAAGCCATCCATCTCACTATGGAGAATATCAGGAACTGTTATTTTATTAACACATTATTTGGTTCTCTGTATCTGGTGGGTGCAACTGACTTCCTAAGACTCAAAAGTAGAGTATAACAGTAGGAGTAGACCTAGGGTCGAATGATAGGAAAGGTACAACGCAGACGCGCAGCGTCTCAGTCATGAGCTGGAAAAAAAAAACACAATTTGTCGAGAAGAAAAAAAACATGTATTTTACATAATAGACTTTACAATAGATTCAATAAGGCTTTTAAACCTCTAAATTGTCACCCTGGACCACTTCCAAGAAATTGAGAGCGACGCCCGACCCCACGCCTAAGTACGCTCTCGTGGGGATATCGACCTCCTCCGCCGGGGATTTCTGAGCCTCCATCGGGCAAATCCTGGTGCCACCCCTGAACCTGAACCACGGTTGGTTATGAAATCTAGGTCAATAATACTGCATTAGGCCTACTTTTATCAATGTAGTAGACCGACTTGAATAATAAAGCTACAGTCGTGTCATATAGTGCATATATTAAGTTAAAATATTGTTGAAATGAAATAAATGAATAAATTTCAATGCTCATAACGACGTCTTCAACATCATATTTTCAAATGTTTACTTTCTTTAGACGGAAGATTAGTACAGGATTTCAAGAGTTACGATTAATAATACCCGATGGAGGAACTTATATGGAAACTGGACTTAGAAACGCCAACAGTCAGATCCTAGAGCACAGTAAGTGGTGGATCGCCAGCGCCACATCCCAAGTTTATATTCTAGACAGGTTTCACAGAGATTTTGCTCGCCTTCACACCTAAATTCAGAAACCATATGTAGGCCTACATAACGCCTACTGTAAGTACCGTACACTCACGACGGTCGTCGGCCGACGCGATTCTATAAAGAACGCAACGCGATGACGCGCACAACGGATCGTTTTTAATGATGATCCGATCTATTACCAGGGTTGCCATTTGGCCTTTTTGACGGCCAGATTCCTCAAATCTGGCTGTATAAAAATTTGCCTGGCCGTAACGTTTGAAAAGTCACGGCCAAAATATATTTGGCCGAATTTTTAAAAAGTTTACATTTTTTTTTTCAATAGGCCTAATATAACGTAGAATTGTTTTGGATATGTTGTTTTTGTTTTCTTAAATTCATATTTGATTGTAATCATGTACCTTTGTTTGTACTTCCCGGACCCCTTTAGCCGATTGGACGTAAGAGAGTTTATTTAAAAGATAACAGTTACTTAATTTAAATTGTTCGGATGAAATAGTTTATTTTATATGAAGTTTCGTCGTTTAAGCTTTATGAAGACAGTTCAATGCAAGTTTGTACCATATATTGAGTGTGTTTGTATGTGTTCCATCCTAGTGGAGGTTCTATCTCTTTATAATCTCTTTTGAATATGAATTAAATACTGTACTTTAATTAATTTATTATTGCCCACTTGAATTGTATAGGCCTAGGTGCTGCTGTTCTTTATATAGAACTCGATGTGATCATTCGGGGCCGATGGACCTCCAATTTCAAGCAAGCGTTGTGCCAGAGACTTCTTCGAAGTTACTCTAGAGTTAGGTTGTATATGAGAATGAAGAAGATAATTCTGATAGCAACATTGATTTATTGCTTTAAGTACTGCGACAATAACATTAAGAGGCGAAATTAGAAAGTTTAGATATAAAGCATTTATTAAAGTTTTCATAGGTTTGTTTTAACGCCTGTTACCTACTACAGAACTAACCTATAACTTAATTCACCACGGATTTGCCAATAGCAGGCCCTTAATTTTTTTGCTCTAGCATACTGTAGTTACCAACCTGAGAGGTTTGAAATGCGTGAGTGACTACACCATTTGGCTGAGGGGGGGGGGTCCAGAGGCGGAGCCCAGCTGGGGTAGGGGCGTGGCCCCAGGCGCTCCGACGATCTGAGCATTAAAGCTGTTTTAAAAGGATTTCAGAGAGGGTGTCTTGACAATAACGGTGGCATAAGCAAAAATATTTTTAGTTTCAATTAATTGAGCACCCGAACTGTGTTGACCTAAACATTTCACTAATAAATTTTTAGTAACGCGTCAGTGAAATAAATATTCACATAAATATTTAGTACACTCTCTAATGAATCAATTACTGGTAATGGTACTTGTAGCGTCTGATTTCAGACATTCGGCAGCCATTGACATTATGTTGGCGTTAAAAGACTGCATATTGTGATGAGGGACCTTTGTACAAACAATTACCAAACACAAAAAATATGGAAAACTGAATGCTATTTACAAAATATTCTATTTAATGCTTATGGGTGAAACTTTCTTTGATAAATTGGCTTCTATTCAGTTGAATTTTTTCTACATGATTATTTATTTTGTATTTAACTTGGCTAATAGCATTCTACCGTACCCTGTTCTCAAACCCGATGCAGAACCAAGATATTTAGGTTCATTATATACCGGGTATTTTATTTTTGAGAAATTTGAACTAAAGACCATAAACCTTTTATAGGCATAATATAGCTCTGTCCACCACACTATCAAATTTTATTTGACAAATAGGTGTGATGTGCTCATATTTGGACATGATGATGTCACTTATTACACCCAATGTGGGCATTATTTGCCATACACGGTATAATTTGGTAGTGTGGACACAGAACTTTAGAGATCAGGATAATCCTGTCAATTTTCTCCACTAAAATTGCTTGTTGGTTGTTGATTGTGCTTAAATATTGTAATCGTCTGCAGTGTCTGTTTTTTACTAAATCATTGCTTTCTAACTGAATTTGTGTAACAATTTTCATCACTTTTCTAATACTAACAATATTTGATTGTGTATTTTCTGTATTTCCAGGCTAATAACGCGCGCAAATTCGGTGCGTCTGGGCATTATTTGCCATACACGTTATAATTTGGTAGTGTGGACACAGAACTTTAGAGATCAGGATAATCCTGTCAATTTTCTCCACTAAAATTGCTTGTTGGTTGTTGATTGTGCTTAAATATTGTAATCGTCTGCAGTGTCTGTTTTTTTACTAAATCATTGCTTTCTAACTGAATTTGTGTAACAATTTTCATCACTTTTCTAATCATTAACAATATTCGATTGTGTATTTTCTGTATTTCCAGGCTAATAAAGCGCGCAAATTCGGTGCGTCTGTTATTGCAGTCAGTGTTGGTGATAGTAAAGAGCGTGATCTTCGCGACATCGCCGATAAGCCTTATAAAGATCATGTTTTCAGAGGCGATACATTTGCTGATCTAGATGACATCATTGGAGTCGTAAGTAACAAGCATTCATGATCTTAAAGAAAAATAATTATAATAAATATTACAGTACATAATCAAAAATATCTTATTCATGTTTGATTTTTCATCCTAATTGAGTTGGGTTGTGTAGTTTATCTAACATCAGATACCGGTACGTTGGCCGACGTGATTCTATAAAAAACACAACGCGACTACGCGCGCAAAACGGATCGTTTTTAATGACGATGCGTTCAGACGACCACCCACAATCGCATGGTCTAGCGCTTTAATGGAGCGCAATTTGATTCGTCAGTGAGTGCCCGGCTTTAGTTGGGAAACTACAAAAGACATCATTTTACGTCGTCACATAGTTATTAATTATGGATTATGAACACTACATTGTGTAGTGAATAGTCAAAAGTCTGTTCCATAAAATGTGTCAACAACATGAAGTAACCGTTGAGCTATAAATAGAAGATAGTTTTATATACTGTAACATTATAACAATTTTCTAACGTCTTGTGGAAAAAAATCATGCAATGATGACTGTACAGTGTAAACTGGAGGGTTAGATATATATATTACCAGTATAATCTAATATAATATAAAAGTAAAATTCTTTCTGATGATCATTGATGAACAAAACAAGAAGTACAGATTCTTCTAGGTTAATATTTGGAAGTTACAAGAATTAGAAAATTATTTTTCACAACTTAGTAACAGTAGGCCTATGGTTTAACTGTGTCTTATGTAAAAGCCTAACTATAAACAAGACAGTTCCACTAGTCACAAAGAACAATTAATTTATAATATTGTTAACACTTATGAAATGTATTATTGATTTTAATCTCGCATAAATGTAATCCGATAAACGAGTTCCAAAATGCTATTGGTTGCTTGTCATATTTAATTCAGAAGTTGGTTTTTACAGATTGTTAATAAGTCATGCGTTGAAATTTTATCCGCTAGTCCAGATGAAGTTTGTTCAAATGGTAAGTTATCAATTATTATTATTATTATTATTATTATTATTAATATTGCTGTTGTTGTTATTCATTTCAACATGAGACAAGTATAACAAATAAATGATCTTTAATAAACACACGGAATAACGGAAAAACAATACAGATTTGTAATTTGTAAAATAATATAATTTTATAATATATACATTGTTGCATTATTTTGATACTGTTAAAATAGTCCTCAGACAGTGCTTCTTCAAGAATTTACCAAAGAGTTAAAAACAACATTTTCTCGTTTTATTTCAGTACCTTTTCTGGTTAACTTAGAAGGTAATGGGTTCACCAATACAGACAACGTGTCGCACGTCATTTGTAACTTCAAACTGAACGACACAGATAACCAAGGTAGAATAATAGCCCATCTTTATTTTGTCATTTTGTTTTAGGTGAATTTAGGTGATTAATTAACTAATTGACCGTGATTTGTGGGGAGGGGAGACTGGGGGGAGAGTAATTTTTGAAGGGGCGTGCGACCCCCGTGCACCCCTTGATACGCCACTGATTATTAATATAATAATTATAAATACGTACCTATTACGAATATTAAACATGTACACCAAGTATGATATATTTTCTGCAGCTGTCGTGCCAACTTTCTTAACTGACACAAGGATGACCTGTGAAGCTCCACCAATCACCGAGGGAAAGTAAGAAAAACATTTGATTATACATTCGTTCAAGTGTTTACTTTCTCTATTGCCGTGAATGTTATTAAACATGCATTGTTCCCGGAAAATAAAAAAATAAAAAGAAAAAAAAATGTCATATAAAAACAATTTTGTTGATTTTAATGTAAGATAATGATAAAAAATAATGTGACTGGAAGTGTTTCAATATTTTTTTTTTCATGGTTTAACATGTTTTGAATACACTAATTTCTGTGTTCAAGTTTGATAAATTTTTTATGATATTTGTTTGGTAGTTTTAATGGGAAATATGTTTTGAGTATGCATTTATTCTACAATATATTAGCCTACAATTTGTATGAGTTGAAGGTGAGATTACCCCCAAGTAAACACTTATCTTTAATTCAGCATGTTCGAAGCAGTACTGATTGATTGGTATCTTTCACACATAATGTCCCTTGGGTGTTTATATTTCATGTAAATTAAAATTCACACTCAAAATCCCCCGCAGAATGTCGTATACGTCTTAAACATGTCATGAGGTTATAGTTCAAGATCCGGAAAATTAAGGATAGTATAAACAACTTATGTCTCAATGTTACTATTAATAATTTCCTCTTTAGCTTCGTGGTAATGCAAGTTTCTGTGAATGGAAAATCATACATATCAAGTAATGTAACCTTAACTGCTATTGATTGTACGAAGGTAAGAACAAGAAGAAGAGGTAGAGAGACATAATTTACAACTTATAGTCTCGACAGGGTTTTGCATACATTTAATGTATAATGTTTGCAAGTTTGTTTTTGTGTTTAAAGAATATTACTATTACTACATTTAGGAGGTAATGTCCAACACATTTAACTCGATTTTTTCAAGAGCATAATTGAATATTTTAAAAGCTACAGTAATTTGTATATGTGTTAAATGAAGGTAAGTGGCCCCACAGTACCTGATTATCAAATTGATCGCACTAAGGTTTACCAATGTTTGAGGTTACATGATTGACAGTCAAATCCAACGACATTAATAAAAACAAACGCAAAAATGTACTTACAGGATTAAAATTCATACTATAACGATGCGACTTTCTACAAAACAAATTAATCCCACACATGCGTATACAGTACCACTTAGATGGCATACGCGTATAATATCTGTACCGATTTCATGACGTAGGAAGTATTTTACTCATCATTCTGTTTGTGGAAAATTAATGCTGCTGAACCCTAGAACATTGGGCGTAACGTTAGAAGCATCGTGTAGGTATGTCTATTATTAAATGAGAAACAGGAAAAAATGTTGATCATGTAAAATACTGGATTACTCTGATCAGAAACTATCATTATCATCATCATTGTCGTCGTCGTCATGATCATCATCAGCACTAGCAGCAGGATCGAAATTAACGCAATCATCATCATCATCCACGGTATCATAGATTATCGTCATTTTGGTAACCTGTTTACAATAGGCCTATAACAACTGTTTCTTCCCAGCATTTTATAATCAACGACTATTATCAGGGTTAGATATCGTAAAATATCCATAGGCTTATGAAGGCCTATAACTTCTTTATCTTTTTGATTTTAGCCGGACCTTACCGCTGTGATCGCTGGAGTTAGTCTCTTCTTTCTGTTATTGCTTTTACTGCTTCTTTGGTGGTTCTGGAACATCGTATGTTGCGTGGTAAGTGTTTACATAATAATTGCCAAAAGATGTCATTGTTAAGTAAAACCTTTATGACGTGATTATTTTGGTTTAGACCCCACAACTATTACTAAAATTTCATTATTATTCATAATATTCAAATTAGGTTTGCTGTGAAGCACCGTTCCTCCGGACTGTTTCCCCTAGGACAATCCCCCCGGACATTTTCCTCCCTCCCCTTATAAAACACGAATTTAAATACAAAGAATACATCAAGATTTATATCATCTTTTATTGAATTTTTATTAAATCAACTGCACTAGTAACAACCATATTTAAATGGTCAAATTTAAGTAACAACAACAAACATACAAAAAATATGAATTATATACATTAAGCCATTAGGTTTACTTTATTTGCATTTGCTCATTTTTAGTCACTATTTTTGTTATTATCAAATAATTATAATATAACACATAACAATACTGACAACATGGAGGTATAATAGTTAAACAAACGTACATGTAAACAGCAAAAGCAGTTAATAGTAGGTAATACAAATTTTATAAATTTAGCATGGTAATATTTAAGTAACAACAACAAACATTAAAAGCAATATATGAACTACATACATTTTTAAGCCATTAAGTTTACTTTATTTGCATTTTCTCATTTTTAGTTACTACAGTATTTATTTTTGCAGTATTTATTTTCTAATTAAATAACACATAACAATATTGAAAAAAGAGGTATAATGATTAAACAAACATACATGTAACCAGCAACAGTAGTTACTTACATAGTAATAGTAGGTAATAAAAATGTTACAGATTTAGCATGGTAATATTTAAGTATGAATTACATTAAGCCAAGCTTACTTTATTTGTTTTTGCTTATTTTCAGTTACTATTTAATTTCTATTATCAAATTGTCAATATTGCTGTGTTAATGATATAATTAAACGTAAACAACAACAAAAATTATATATGAGGACATGGTGTTAGATCGTATAGCATCGCTCTCAACGAATGTTGTCCTATAAATAATTGCATAATAAAATGTCTCCGACGGGATCCGAACCTGCGACCTCTCGCGAGCGTCATAACCATTAGACCATACCACAGAGGCTTTAATTAAATAACACATAACAATATTGAAAAAAGAGGTATAATGATTAAACAAACATACATGTAACCAGCAACAGTAGTTACTTACATAGTAATAGTAGGTAATAAAAATGTTACAGATTTAGCATGATAATATTTAAGTATGAATTACATTAAGCCAAGCTTACTTTATTTGTTTTTGCTTATTTTCAGTTACTATTTAATTTCTATTATCAAATTGTCAATATTGCTGTGTTAATGATATAATTAAACGTAAACAACAACAAAATTATATATGAGGACATGGTGTTAGATCGTGTAACATCGCTCTCAACGAATGTTGTCCTATAAATAATTGCATAATAAAATGTCTCCGACGGGATCCGAACCTGCGACCTCTCGCGAGCGTCATAACCATTAGACCACACCACAGAGGCTTCATGGTTGAATAGCCAGTTTGACACAGCTTTTGAGAATTTTATTTTTATAATGTTTGATCCATGTTTTTTTATATTACGCTAACATTTCTTTGAAGGTGGTGACAAAAGCTGCCACGAAAGCAGCTCCACCGCCCGAGAAGCCGAATGGCAAGTGGCCAGCAGTGGACGCTTCGTATTATGGTGGTGGTGGAGTTGGTGGGATGAAACCGGTTCAGGTTAGTGATGTTCAACGTTTATTTTTATACTATATACTTTGCTATTTTTTACAACTGATGAATACAAATTGAACAGATTCGTCAACTGGATTTAGGGTCAATATAAATTAAAATTCTATGATTTGATTCATTTTTTTAAATGGCTTAATTTATTGTGCATAACACAGAATGATGTTTTTGCTCAGAGTTTTTACTTCGAAAATCTTTTAAAAAATATGGAGGAACCGTGTCTGTCAACTGCCGAGAAATTACATTATCGTTCTGATTTTCATTTTTTTTTTAATCTTTGAACAAACAAGGAATTCAAATACAGTATTCTCTATGTTTATTAGCTCTATTGTCTGCAGTATATTGTCAACATGTATTGTTGCGTTTGACTTTGACTTAGGTGAAATGGGGCGATAAGGGATGTACCGAGGCAGGATCCCATTTGGAAAAGACAAAGGATGCTAAACTTCTGGGCGAGAGATCGACTGGAAACCCTGGTAGTGGTAGTAATAAGCCAACAATGTGGGACAAAACCAAGGTAACCTGTTGTTTAATATAATTATAGTTATCATTTTTATGAAGGTAGTCCATCCAATCAGATCTGATCAGAGTTAATTTAATAACTATTATTTTATTATAATAATTATAATATTAAATATTATAAACTTACATTATGTGATGATAATTCTGTCAATATTATTTTAATTATAGGGTGCATTTGCAGCTTGCTTTGCGCCTATCAAGTCGTGTTATGACAGAGTTTCCATAATGAGACCGCAGCAAGGTGAAAAGGTATAAAGTTCAAATTATGGCTAACATAGTGTAGTTGATTTAGAATAAAGGCTTGTGGCACAGTTGTTTAAGTTCTGTTAGCACTACGTTGTGCCCATATATGAGCATGATGATACCATATTACATCCAAAGATGGACATATCACCCTTATTTTTCAAATGATATCTGATAGTGTGGACAAGGTTATAAAGAACTGGGGCCGGATTTATCAAACTAGAAATCAGCTTAAATTCATCTTAAGTCTCTTTTTTGCTAAAGTCAAATTTATTTTTAATATTGGTTTAACTTAAAAATTGCGTAAAATTAAAAAGTCGATTGTACGTATGAACCATCTAGGACGATTTTTAAGCTAAGATTTTGCTAAGATAGTTTGATAAATCAGCTTAAGATATTTGCTTAGGGACATCTAAACTTTTCTGAATTAAGATATCTGCTAAGCTGGGATAGATAAATCCCGGGCCTGGGCTTTCAATCGAGATGGTAAGTTTTGGCTGACGCTCGTCACATTGTTAGGTAATACACTTTATCTACGTTTGCCTCTATTCATCTAAGAAAATAAATGAGTAGGGCCTATCTTGTAGCTGATGAATGGTTTTAGAACGAAATTTAGATTTCTGATTATAGAAATGACTAGGGGAAGGAGGTTGCATATCACGCACGATTTATTTTTGTATCCAATAAACAGGTGGAATACGTTCACTATATAATTAAAATAATTAAATAAATTTATTTAACAGTATAATAAATAATTACCACAATTTACGTGTTCTGTCCGTTTTCTTTTCAGGGATGTTTATGCAAGTATCAGCACGTTTGAAGAAATGGAAACAACAATGGAGAGAATCATTCTTTTCAAAAACTAAATTTCTATTAATACCTTCTAAAACCGTTTCCCTTTTATACATCTAGAAATTGCAGCAAAAAAATAGGAAAGTAGTGGACAAGTTTGAATGCCGGTGAGGGCGCAATTCAAATGTAATTGATGGAAGAAAAAGTTGTAATGTCCCCTATGTTTCAAAGAAATTGTAGTAAAGGTTTATGGCTGTGTTAATCGTGATTGGAACTATTTATGTATATAACAATTTGGCATTGAAAGAAGTACTGGCTATATGTGTCTAGTTTTTATAATAATAGTAATAATTTAATGATAAAGTAAAAGTATTTTGAGGATGCAAAGAACTGTTAACTGTTACCAATTGGTGTATTTTAATCGTTATCCTTGTATATTGCGAGACAATTGATAATTATAATAATTATACAAAAACACTCATTATTGGACAAAAATAGAGTAATAATGCAAGGCAATGATAATTCTCAAACTTCCTATGGGAAATCTCAAGGTGCTACTAATGCTGGGACATCTGTACGTTTAGCTTGTATAAAATTTGTAAATATTGGGAACTTCATGTTCCAAAGTTTTAAAATAGCACACTATGCTACGTTGTGTCATAGGCTAAGATATATACTGAATAGGCCTATTCAGTTTAGAGAGAAAACAAAAATCTTGTATTATTCAATAATTTCTTGGAAATGTACTTCGTATAATGTATCTTTGCCAAATCTCAGAGCGACATAAGACTCATTGAAGCAACTCAGTGATGACTTAAAACAATAGATTTTATTTAACCTGAGTGTCGCCGAGTTACAACCACTTGGCGCGATTCATTTCCTGGATTTGTTCTTGGCACACTTGTGTCACATGACGGAAAAGACACATCGCCGATTTGTGGCTTGATTCACTTTGAGTCACAGAAAATGATCTAGGCGGCTATATATATACGGTGTATAAAAATGTAATAACCGATTAACTTGATCTGGTTAAAGTTAACTTATTTTGGATATACTTAAAGTATAACCCTTTAAAGAATGTATAGGATTATCGCGTAGATGTAGAAAAAAATGCTATGGATACAGATTTTATTCTATTGTAGCTATATTTGTTGTACAATAGGGCTATTTCTCTCATATTTTGTTTACCTTTGAAAAGTATACATACAATAAAGTATACATGTAATTTAAATAACACTGCATGGGCTATTCACATTTTCAACAGGTTTACACAATTCTTTAAGTAAAATAAATACATGAAAATTAATTTTAAAACAAGACTAATTTATAGTATACAATGATCCGGACAATGTTTAAGAAAACCATTTCTCATTTTAAGTGTAAAAATAAACAAACTTTTAGGCCTATCGTTGATTTTTGATTTTTTTTTTTTTGTATAGGCCTATATATGTAAATTAACTGGCATTAGAGGAGGGATTGGATTGGATTGGATTTATTTGCTGTGAACGCCTCTAAGACTAAATAACCCCAGAAAGTATAAAGGCTAATTCTAGTGGGCCCTTTTGGAGGTGATTGGGGAGGTACACCGGGAGACAATCCCCCACTCTTTTCCGAACTGAGTGCGTTGCGTTATTTAACGACAATCCCCCACTCTTTTCCGAACTGAGTGCATTGCGTTATTTAACGTGCACAATGAGCCATATGGCACCGGACCAATGGCTTCCACGTCTCATCTGAAAGACAGTGCGCTTTTTTATGCTTGCATTTCTTTATTTTCTTGGTTTAAATGAAGAGGCCTCGGCTAGAAAATTATTGAGACCTAATGGTAACTAAGCTTTCTAGCACAGAACCGAAGAGTCGCGTAAAAGCCTCATCGTTGCTGCATTAACTAGTCGGTAAAGGCCAACTCAGACAGCGTCGGCCGACGCAGCCCGACGCGATTTGTTGTCGCGTCGGGTCTGTGTGAGTTGAACGCAGACGCGATGGTGTGCGTCGGGGGCAGTCGCGTAG